GACCCTGCACTAGGTATGGGGCAGGATAAACCATTTCCTCAGCTGTTTAGGTATTCATCATGAACTTGTACAAGAATACTAAGGGACAAAATACTGGCCAACAGTAATAAAAAGAAAAATTTTTTTTAAACTTATAATTATCATAGAGACAGAAAGAATATGTTACAAGCATTTAAAAGGGTCTCCAAAACTTGGAAAAATCAAGAAAAATTTGAATAGCAGGTTTGGAAGGAAAAGTAGGGGAAAGGCGATAGTAGTTTAAGGTGGTGTGGTGTGAGCATACAGGAGGAGACATTGATAAATCTAGCTATGCGAGTCCTCAGGTCTTATGGTACAGTGTCTAATAAACACTGGAGAGTTGACCAAAGAGCTGTGTGCTCAGGCACACAGGTTCTAATTCTCACTAATTGGATGACTGTAGGCAATTCTCTAAGTCTCTCAGAGCCTCAGTTCTTTCATCTGTAAAAGGCAGACAATAATATAGATCTGAGAGTTATTTTTATGCTTAAATGAAATGACAGAAGTACATGCACTGATGAATGCTGATTTCCTTTGCCCTCCTCTATTTAACCAGAAAATAGGTTTCTTGGCATAAAACAATCAGGGTATTTTCTCTTCATTCCCCTTTCAATCTTTAGCCTTGACTTTTACAAAGAGATGTGGTGATAGAATTTCAGAGTTGAAAGGAATCTTAGAGAAAAATAACAATGCATTGCAGCAGAAGAGCCTGAGAGATTCACTAGACCAGCTCTCTCACACTTTAGGCCCAAAGGTAATGCGGCTTCCCCCAGCACAGGCAAGATAATACCAGGATCAGAAGATGGGATGGGGAGGGGTGGGTCGTGGGTCTCAATTCAGGTCCTCAGTTCTAGTCCAGAGGCCGCAGAATTTCAGGTCTTTCCTAGATCTAAAGTGAAAGGGAAAGATGGGTCTCAGCAGTGGTGCCTCTTTGTGCTACATGACAACGGCCTGCTATGTAACCTCTCTGAGTCTCAGTTGCCTCAAAAATACACAGGATGACTATAAGGACTGAATGATATGATGCTGGTAAAACACTTAGAACAAGCCATATGGGGATCACTAAAAGCAGATCACTAAATGATTTAATCAAAAATCCTTAAATTTTGATTTTCACAACTGAACAAATCAATAAATTAAAAGAATTGATGGCAGAAGAAAGAATTAATGTATAGCAAATACCTCTCATGAATGAGGTGCTGAGACAGACTCAAGCTTCTAGGTAAATGTCAGTGTTCCTGTTTTCTAGCTGAGGAGACCTAGGCACATCTCAGCATAATAACTTGCCTCAGGAAGATGCTAAGACTCCATACTGCCACAGCTGCTAGAGCTAGTCAGAACATGGTCAGACCAGAAGGAGGTCCCCTAACAACCTTGTCAATGTAAGCCATGCATGCTCACTTTCAATAAAAAAAAGGAAATGAGTAGCTAACCTGATTTAATCCCCCCAAATACCAGATACTAAATGTTCTGTAACCTTCCTGTTCTTTGGGGTTTCTGTTTCTCCCACAGAACAATTTCCAAAATGGGTTGAGCACAGTAGGTGGCTCTCTTTAATATTTCACAGGCAAGGCAATAGTGACTCACCAGATCCTACATCTGTGTCATCAGCAAAAAAGCCTGACAAAGTTGAGCAACAACTGAAACTGTGCGTATGTCAGAGATAACCTTTAGCTTTTTCTTCTGCTTCTTCCTCTGATTTTCTCCAGCTCCTTTCTGCTTTCCTAACTGTGCCAGGTAAGATGACGCTGACTGCCTACCTTTTGGCAAAAGCAAACATATGCTTCCAGATGCCAAAAGCAAGAAACACAGTGTTTCTCCCCTAAATGTATTTGCCAGCCGGTCTGCTTTCTGCAAAGCGAAGAAACCTGAAGTCTCAACAGATAAATGGCCCTACTGACTGGGCCAGAAACAGATCTGTTCATTTTCCTACATAAGCCTGCAGCCATCAGTTTCCACCGGGAAGACTGAACCCCAGACCAGTGATCAGCATCGCCAACCGACAGTGGTCTTTCCTATAAATGCTGCCTCTGCATACTGTTCACTATATCCCACCCTTTCCATCCTTGGAATTAGACAAAAGAAGAGAAAAATGCAGTGGTCACTCATGGCATTTGTTCCTTAGTCTTCTTAAGGCCCTGAGTATTAGCACTAGGATGGCTGAAAGAAGAAACCATCCAGAACAGAAAGAAAGCCATGACATAACTCTGTACTTTATATCTTCATGGTACCCTTCTGCCTAGGAATTGAAGGTGTACTGCATCAGACACATGTGAGCAGACAGGCTGCCCTAGAGGTTCATCACTCTGAAACTTCTTCTCCTGACAGCTGCCCCACCAAACTCTACAGAGCATAGTTCTCTCAGCAAAGAACTATCCTCTTCAGGACAAAATGGATACCCTGAAATCACCAAAAAAGTAAGGTCACCCTAACAAGTGAAGTAAATTGCTAACGATGTCATTGGAGAGATGACACGAAGTGACAGGAAAAGCCCTCCACTAGAAGTCAAAAGATGTGAACTGTATTTCTAAGACTGAAATTTACTAACCACCTGACCCTTGACAACTTCTTTCTCTGACTCTCATTCAATTTTCTTCTCAATAAATTGAGATCAGCTAAGAAGAGATATCATTTAATGAGCACCTACTCACTACACTCATTTTACATTATTTGACTTAATTTACTCTTTATATGAATCCTTGGGGTAAGCATTTTTTTCACTTTAGAATGGGGTAAAACAGAAACTCTAAACAGTGAGATAAATTGCTTAGCATTACCCAGCTACAAAGGAATTAGAGATGGAATTTGAATTTGATCATAAAACTGGTTTTTTTCATACTTTATCATATCATCATATTATCCTTCCACTATTACTACACCCATTATGTCCTTCTCTCAAGGCTATTGCAAGTAGCAATGAAGATAACACATATGGCATATGCTGGAAATTGTAAAGGCATATATATATATATATATATATATATATATATATATATGTAACAAACAGTCTAGATAAGGAGAAAAGGTATAACTGAATAACCTTTCTTTGAAAACCCAGAACTAAAAGGAGTCAGCTTTCAATCTCCCATCCCCTTGTTCTGACCTTATTTTGAACATTTTCCTTTTCCCTACAAGTCCCCGGTCTCAGGCATGCGTTCAGATGTATCCTGGCCAGCTCATCACAATGCATGCACACGGAACAGGCTGACAGAAGCAAGCATTCCCATCTCCTGCAAATTCCTGGTGTGGGAGGTACCTAAGGGGACCACCAAACCCTGTCCTTTCCTCCAGGAGTATCACACCCCCACCCTGCACACTTCAGTAATAACAGGCATATGCAATGGACCGTAAAGCAGGCAGCCAACTATAAATACTGGATGCTTTGTTCAGGGACTTACAGCACAGCCAGGAAATAGTAAATAACTGTATGAAGTCAATCAGAATAAAATCAATTGTTACATTCCAGGTGGGGGTATATAAGGGACACTACTTCATGTTAAAGTACCAATAATATCAATAATAAAGGATGACTAGAGAGGGTGGACACATATGGATGTTTGTGTTTATATGAGATGTTTGTGTCCAGAGGGACTGAATTTAGGAGCAACACTGTATAATCCAAAAGAAATGCATGTAAATCTTCTTGTTTTCCTATACTGGCTGAAAAGTATAAACCTGCTTGTCTGACCTGAGACAGCAGGAATAAAAGGCTTAGAATAATCTGCAACATAGATGAAACTTGTAACTTCTCCTCTTGTCTTTCTACCTCTCATCAAATTCAAGACCCTCTTTGCCAATAAAGGCAGCCTCAGATCAAAGTTTCACAGAACTAAGGTTTGATCTAAAAACTAGCAGGGAATTGGCATCACTGAGAAACATTTTATATTCCAAGTCAAGCATCTACTATCAAAGTCACATGTAGAGGGCATTCAGAAAACACTATGAAAGAGCTGTTCAAACTCCAAAGAAGGAAACACCACAACATCCAGATTTTTTAAAAAGTCACTCTATCTGAAAAATCAGCTTCCTAAAAAACCCACTGTCTCCAAGGTTAACATGTAACAATATTTACAATTGCTGCCATCAATGTCAAATTGACCAGGTGCCAAGTCAGGCACTGTGATAACCATGCGGTCTGAATTACCCCGATTCATCCTCCCAAGTGACCGAAGGACTCTTTGTGACCATTAAAATCTCCATTTTACGGCTGGACCAAAAACAGGCGCGCGCGCGCACACACACACACACACACACACACACACACACCCCAAAAAAACGAAACTAAGTATCAAAAAGACTGAATAACTTGCCCAAGTTCACACAATTAAAACGAGGCAGAGCTGGAGAGAAAGCCAGGTAAATCCTCCTCAGCTGGTAGCTAACCTGAGATCCTGGAGCAGAGCAGTGTTTCAGGATTTCACAACCAGGGGGTGGAGGCAAGACAGGCTGGGCACCGGCTCTTAAAGGAAACGGCAGAAGTTTGCTATCATGTTTGTGATTTTTCTGTGCAACTCAGCTGCCTCCTTCCTTCCCAGGACTTAGCAGTGAGAGTGGCTATGGTTCTGAGGTCACCTAATCCTATATGAGAAGCATCGTATTTCCCACAGGACCACTGACCCCGCTTCCCCTGTGGCTGAAGAGAGCAGGGTACCAAACGGGGTGACTGGTGCTGGGACGTCCCTCACCTCTCCACTGACCCCACCAGGAGTCTGACAGACCCCCCTCGGCGGGGCACGTTTCTGAAAAAACAGGTCGGGAAAGAGGGAGGGAAGCTGTAAGCAGCCTTTACCCAGGCTGTCACAGGTCCAAACTGGAAGCGACGTGATACCCAGTGGCAACGCTGGGATACACTGCCCCCATCTATCCTCCTGGTTCACAGCAGCACTCCAGAGAAATCAAGGCGGGGGTATACCAGGGTAGATCCCTCAGAGCTGCGAGAAGGGTGCAGCGGCGCGCAGCCCTCCCGTAACGGCGTTACTTAAATGTTTATAAAGCAAGGATGGGACTCGGGACAGTGGGTTCGAGTGCTGACCCCGGCACTAACTAGCTGTGCGACCTATCCCAGCCGCCGCCTCGCTCTATGCCTCAGTTTGCCCTTCTGTAAAACAGGGTTGAAGGAGAAGATCTGTCAGAACCCGTCCACCCTGAGATTCGGTAGGTCGGTGATCCCACAAGCCCTCATCACCGCACCAGACTCACCTTTCTTGGGAGGAAGAGAGGACGTGGTGAAGGCGGCGGGAATGAGTGCAGGATCGCCCAGCTCCGAATCTTTCGGTGCGCTTGGCCAAAGCCCAGCCCCGGGGACCCCGATCCGGCCAGTCTTCCCGCAAGGAGCCTCTTACTTTCCGCCGCACTTTCTTTTTTCCCCCTTTGGGGCTCCTCCCCTGCCGCTGCGCGATTGGCCGCCGCCGCGCGGCTCCGGCTCCACCCGCCGCCTCGGCTCGCCAGCCACCCGCGCTCTGGGCTTCCAAGAGCTGAGGCCGCGGGGCGGCACCCACAGCAGCCCCGCCCGCGGCGAGGAGGAGCGGCGCCCCGCCCGCGGCCCGCCAACCCGAGGCGGCGCTAGGCCCTTCGGTGCCCGGCCACCTCCTGGGCAGACTGGAGCGCGCAGAGAGGGAGAGCGTGGGTCCCGCAGCTTGGCACGATGCCAGGCGCTTCGGGTAGATGTGCCTCTGCTCCACACAAGAGACATACACTTGCGCTCCTTGCAAGATCCTGGTCTCATGGTCGAGAACGCTGTCACCCTGCCTCTTCCCGGCTCTGTGTATTTAACTCTCTGCTGCACCAAAGCCATGACTCTATGCAGAATTTGCGCCCCCATCGTGTGCCAAACCCAGAGCGCTACAGGAGGAAACATACTCCACCTTGGTGGTCCGGACCCCCTGCTCCGCTGCAAGTAACAGTCATGGGAACAAACTATTGCTCATGACAGCAAAATGAAATCTGTATTTTCCACTGGCGTGTACTGGTGTGCCTAGCAAGGTGCCTGGCGCAACGTTGGCACTCAGTACATGTATACTGAATTAGTGAATGAATTAAATCATCGATATAGAACCAAGCGATCGCAAAAGAATCACTCCTTTCATTCACTCCCTTTTCTCCAGATTTCTGAAAGAGCCCTCAGCCAACTTCTCCCACTCTAGATGGTAGTCTGTGTAGTCATCCTGAGCTTTACAATGACTGTCAACTTCTTTGTTCAAGAACCTTCCGTTGATCTCTATTGCTAGTCCATCACCATTCCTTCCTGACTGGCAAGGCCCTTCAACACCTTTCCTCATTTCTGAGACTCCCAACGAAAGCCAAGCCGACGTGTCTATTCACACACGCTTTACTGTACCACATTTATGACTTACCTTCTGTCCGTACAACTTCCCTGGTGGCTCAGGCCGTAAAGCGTCTGCCTACAGTGCAGAAGACCCGGGTTCAATCCCTGGGTCTGGAAGATCTCCTGCAGAAGAAAATGGCAACCCACTTCAGTATTCTTGCCCAGAAAACCCCATGGACGGAGGAGCCTGGTAGGCTATAGTCCATGGGGTCGCAAAGAGTCGGACACAACTGAGTGACTTCACTTTTACTTTTCTTTCTGTTCTTAGTTAGTTCAGTCGCTCAGTCATGTCCGACTCTTTGCAACCCCATGAATCGCAGCACGCCAGGCCTCCCTGTCCATCACAAACTCCCGGAGTTCACTCAAACTCATGCCCATCAAGTCAGTGATGCCATCAAACCATCTCATCCTCTGTTGTCCTCTTCTCCTCCTGCCCCCAATCCGTCCCAGCATCTGGGTCTTTTCCCATGAATCAACTCTTTGCATGAGGTGGCCAAAGTATTGGAGCTTCAGCTTCAGCATCAGTCCCTCCAATGAACACCCAGGACCTATCTCCTTCAGGATTGACTGGTTGGATCTCCTTGCAGTCCAAGGGACTCTCAAGAGTCTTCTCCAACACCACAGTTCAAAAGCATCAATTTTTCGATGGTCAGCTTTCTTCACAGTCCAACTCTCACATCCATACATGACCACTGGAAAAACCATAGCCTTGACCAGACGGACCTTTGTTGGCAAAGTAATGTCTCTGCTTTTTAATATGCTATCTAGGTTGGTCATAACTTTCCTTCCAAGGAGTAAGCGTCTTTCAATTTCATGGCTGCAGTCACCATCTGCAGTGATTTTTGAGCCCCCAAAAATAAAGTCTGACACTGTTCTTAGAGTTGCTTAATTGAATCTTGTTTATTTATTTATCCAAGAAATTGAGATCCAAAGAAAGAAATTAAAGAGAAGGAGAAAAAAGACGTGAAGGAAAAAGGTCCTCATGAATTAGTAAGTAGAACTAGGAGGTGCCAGTCTCTAGGAGGTACCAGCTGGAGATGAACAGCAATGCAAAACTCAGACACTGCTCCCTCAAATGGTTGAACTCCCTAAGGTAAAATAACAATATTACTAAAGCTGTAGTCATGTTCATGTTGTTTCACTTATTGCTATCGTTTATGGAAATCAATCCTGAGAAAGCATTTGTCTCTGGATACCTGGCATGCAGGACCTGTTGACAACATTGTACCAAAAAGGAAACAATCTAAAATTTTAAAAGTTTAGTTGATGAAGTAGAAGCAAAACTGTTCTTTGATTTATTATTCACTCACTCATGAAATATATTTCAGGGCATCAAATATTTTTTTTCTGATATAATACGCTCATTGAACACTTTTATAATATATGCTTATATATTATATATGCTTAGATAATATGTATCATATAGATATATAGATATATATAATATGCTTATATATATCAGTTAATTTAATTTTCACAATCATCTGTAAGTTACTATTATTATCTCCAATATGAAGACTTGACAGAGAAGTCATATCTTGCCTAAGGCCACTAGCCTACAAGATGAGACTGCAAAATGAGAACTGAGGCAGTCTTCTTGCTCTTAATAGATAGTCTCATGTGCTTTCTAGAAGTCCTGACTCTGTGCCAGGCACATGTTGGTGATTCATAATTTAACCAGATGTACTCTTGGACTTTGAGGAGATAGTCCTAGTTTGATGAGGATGATACTACATAGACAAGTCATCACAATGTTAATATTGTAATTTTAAGACAAACAAGTGACTGAGAACGAAAATGGTTAAATAACTAGTGCTGTATACTCACACAATAAAGTATTTACTTTCATAATTAACAGATTATGAAACTATGTCTACAAAGGAAAAGACATAATCAAAAAGATTGTGTAAAATGTATGAAAACACGGACAATGATTGAAAGGACTGTGGAAAATGTTCATGTGTCAAAATTATGGAAGTATTTTTCTTTTTTATTTTGCTTAATGGCCAAATATTACTGTACAATTAGAAAATGTTTGAAAACCTCACATACTAGGCATTCAGTGACCAAGTGTAGATGAATGAATGAGGTTGCAAACTCACTGATGTCAGTGCCTAACAGCGTTGAGTGCATTAGAAATGCTCAGAAAAATATTTTGAAATTGACTGACTATTGGAAAAGCATCATTACTTGCTTCTTCCCTCTGCTGCTAGCCTCTACTTCTTTTTTCAAGTTATTTTCAATTATTTTGCAAATAGCTGTAAGGGAGCCTCAGAATTTGTTTTTCTCTTGAACCCAGTCCAATCTGACTTTTGTCCCTAACACTTCATAGGCAACGTGACTATAACTAATGACTTTCACTTTGCCAACTTCAATGGTCAATTCTTGGCCTTCTTACTGTAACTGTTTAGAAGCATCAGATACAGTTGTTTCTCCTTTAAACTCCTTTTTACTTGACTCCTTGTTTTCCATCCAGTCTTTGGCATGCCTACAGTCCCTCCCTAGGACATCTTATCTCAGGCATTTATGTGATTAAAAACTTTCATATTTAAATATGCCATAGGAATCACAAACTCTGTTTCCCCTATTGCCTCCTTCTTATCTCTTCTTAGATGTGTCATACACACTTGAAACTTCACATGTTCAAAACAAGCTCTTTATGTATGCCTCCTCCTCCAGCTTTTCTAGCATTGTAAGAAAAGTCAAAAAATTGAAAGTATTAGTTGTTCAATCATGTCCGACTATCTGTGACCCCACGGACTGTTGCCCACCAGGCCCTTCTGTTCATGGAGTTCTCCAGGCAAGAATACAGGAGTGGGTAGCCATTTCCTTCTGCAGGGGATCTTCTTGACCCAGGGATTAAACTTGGGTCTCCTTCATTGCAGGCAGATTCTTTACAATCTGAGCCACCAAGGAAGCCCAGCTTTGTAAAAAACACTACTTTTGCCCAGTTACTTAAGGCAATAAGTTGGATTCATCATTGATCCCTCTCTTTTAGAGCTCATATAGAATCTATCAACAAATCTGTTTTCTCTACCCTCAAAATGCATCTTAAATCTGACCGCTATTTCTCTCCTCACTGCAACCACCAGAGTCCAAGTCATTCTCTTCGCCCTTCAATGGCCCCCCTGCTCCAAAGTCTCCAAAGTCTTTCCTCATACTTCAGAGTGATCTTTATAAATGGAAATCAGAATAAATACAGGCTAGTGGTTGAGGTCTGAGCCAGATTTCTGGGTTCAAATTCAAATTCTATAACATAATAACATAAAACATTCATGTTAACATTTTTTGCTTCAGTTTCATTATCTGTAAAATAATAAAGATGATAATAATATCTACAATATAGGGTTGCAAAGTTAAATGAGTTAATAAGAGTAAAATGCTTCCCTGATGGCTTAGATGGTAAACAATCTGCCTGCAATGTGGGAGACCTGGGTTCTATCCCTGGGTTGGGAAGATCTCCTGGAGGAGGGCATGGAAACCCACTCCAGTGTTCTTGCCTGGAGGATCCCCATGGATAGAGGAGCCTGGTGGACTACCCTCCATGGGGTCACAAAGAGTTGGACACAACTGAGCGACTAAGCACAGCACATGAGTAAAACACTGGGAACAGAGATTGGCACATGTGAAGTGCAAATGAAGTGCAATGCAAATTTAGTTGTTATTTTTACTGGTAATACTATATAATACTCTGCTCTCAAATAGTTAATGACTTGTCATCATGATTAGAAGATTTTCCAAACAAGGCCATACATGACTTGACCCTGAGTTATTTCCTCAAATCTCTCACCGTGTGCTCCTTACTATGGCCCAAGCACACGAACATGGTCCCATCATGGGACCTTTGCACTTGCTGTTCCCTGTTCCTGGGATGCTCTTCCCCATGACTTGCTCCCTAGCTTCATTTATATCCCTGCTCAACTGTTACCTTCTCAGCAAAGCCTTTGCTGACAATCATATAAAATATATTTATTCTCTATCTTATTATGTCAGTCTTTACTTTGTTTGCTGACTATTTATTTCAGTAGAGTGTAAGCTCCAAGAAGATAAATTGGTGTTTCCCTAGTAAATAAGTAGTATTTGCATACAGTACTCATTTAATAAACAATTGCTGAACTACGAATCTAGTTCAAAACTCTCATTGCTAAGCTGAGACCCAAAGATATGAAGTCACAAATTTCTTGCCCCCAATTTTGATTATTTTTTTTTTTTTGGCCAGGCCAGAATAATTGGAAGAGAGGAAGAAAAACAATAAATAACTTTTTTTGGCTGGGAGCAAGGTAAAGAAAGTACTGTACAGAGGCATTTTACTTAAAGTTTTTGGAAGGTGAAGAGCCAAAAATAAAAATGTGGAAAGGGAAAAAAGTAATTATGTCACCTTCCATATCCTTTTAAGTTCTCAATTTTTTTTTTATACTTCTCTGCCCAATTTGCTTCCATCCAAATCCAATTCCTGTAGGTGTTCTCTAGCTGTCCACAGCCCTCTTATAGGAGTCAATTATGCCTTTCCTCACTCCCCGAGTTCCCTGTGTTTAGAAGTCATCTCTCTCTCTTCTTCCTTATTGTCTCTGTTCC